ATGATTAAATATGGAGGAGATACATTAATACAAGAAGTGCATTTGCTCATTAAAAAGATTTGGGAGCAAGAAATTATTCCTGATGAATGGCTGTCAACCATCATAGTCCCAATCCATAAAAAAGGGGATAAAACCCGATGTGAAAACTATCGCGGCATTTCTCTTCTTAGCGCGGTGTACAAAACTTTTACAAATATTTTGTACGAAAGAGTACAAATTTATGCTGAAGAAATAATTGCTGACTATCAGTGTGGTTTCAGAAGAAGCAAATCAACCACCGATCAATGCTTTGTTCTCAGTCAAATATTTGAAAAATTCCATGAATTTAGATTAAATTTACACTGCCTGTTCGTCGATTTTAAGCAAGCCTTCGACAGTGTCAACAGAAGTAAAATTGAAAACATTCTTTTAATGCAGGGTTTGCCAAAGAAATTGGTTAACCTAGTCCTCATGACGCTAAGAGGCACGAATGCTAAGGTAACAGTACAGGGTAAGGTCACCGAGACCTTTGAAATTATATCTGGTGTGAAACAAGGTGATGAACTTTCCACAACTGTGTTCAACTTGGTTTTAAACTATGTCATCAAGGAGGTGAACCCTGGAGGTACCATACTAACCAAATCGGTACAAATATGTGCATATGCTGACGACGTGGTAATACTGGCGAGAAATGTCTCTGAATTAGAGCAAACATATATCAAAATGGAAAAATTGGCAGAAAAAATAGGTCTAGCAATTAATGATGAGAAAACAAAATATTTATTAAAATCAAGCTCTACCTCAGCAAGCAGAAGTCAAAGTCTTATCATTGGAAATCATGGTTTCGAGTGTGTTGACAGTTTTACCTATTTGGGAGTAAAATTTGATAAATATAGGGACACAGAAGCTGCAATACAAGAACGAATACACGCAGCAAACCGTGCATTCTACTCAAATATCAAACTGCTTAAGTCCAGTCTCTTATCAAGAAATGTAAAACTAAAACTATACAAAACTTTAGTAAGACCCGTTCTTAGTTTCGGTTGTGAGGTCTGGACACTGAAAGCGTCAGAAGTGAATCAACTTGCAATCTTCGAAAGAAAAGTTTTAAGGAAAATATATGGACCAGTACAAGAAAATGGGAGATATCGCATAAGATATAATCATGAACTTGAGTCGTTGAGTCAAAACTGCAACATAATAAAATTCGTGAAGGCTCAAAGAATCAAATGGTTAGGTCATGTAATAAGGATGTCAGACGACACAGTAGTAAAAAAAATATTCAAAGGTAATCCAGTTGGAAAGAGAAAACGTGGACGTCCTAGAAAAAGATGGCTTGACTCCGTGGAAGAGGATCTGGTTAGGATGGGTGTAGCTCATTACAACAGAGCTGCTCACAACAGGTCCGATTGGCATCGTATTTCGGAGGATGCATTGGCCCACCCCGGGCTGTAAACCAGAGAAGAAGAAGAAGAATTGTATTCAAATATATACATATATGTACATATGAATGTAATTTTTTTAAATAAAGAAAAGTTATAGTTAAAATAATAATTTTATTCAAATATATGTATGTATATATAAATGTATTAAAATTTAGCATTTTACAGTTTTCCGTTTGGAACAATAAAAATAAAATTCTAACTACATACGTACATACATATATTCTGTATGTACATATATTTTTTTAAAGCTTGCTGACGAAACGTAATGTTCAAAACAATAACAAATGAAATATTAATATTCAGATGTCACAAAACATCTGATGTCTGATAAAAGCTGACATTTATTTACGTTAAGATTAATTCGTTTATCCGAAACAAAAATATGTGAGATCATTATATTTTCAAATATTATTTATTTCTCGGTTTGTGTTTCTAATAATAAAAATAACGTAAAACGTATCATTTATTTCTTGGTTTGTGTTTCTAATTATAAAAAGTATAAAAGAAAAACGTGCTTTTGTTATACAAAAATTTTTTCTTTTTTTTAAAAAAAATTTACTTTTCATATCGTCACGACGCGGCGGAGAATGTCCACCACGATGGTAAAACTAGGTTAAGGTTTTTATTGAAAGTGAGGGCCCTCCCTCTGACTTTAAATATATCTGCCGCCAGTGTCGATAAAGATTTACAAACATTTAGGAGCCATATGAAAAGTAAATGGATTGATTATTTGCAGAGGATGAGGGAAGCAAACAATAAGTTTTTTCTTCCGACGACTTCAGCTCAATCGTCTAGATGGTTCAAGTAGCTTTCGTAACAACAATCACTTGGTCAAATGAACTGGTTTTGGAAATAGTATGACAAGGACTGTGAAACAACTTTCTTTGTACTATCAAAATGTCCGTGGACTAAGGACTAGAACTAACACCGTTCTGTTTAACTTTTCTCTTCTTGACTGTGATATTTATGTTCTAACGGAAACTTGGTTGTTCCCCTCCATCAATAATCTTGATTTATTCGACTCTTCATTTTCTATTTTTAGAAAGAACCGACATGCACTGCTCTTGCAGGGACACACCAAAGAGAAATGGGGTATAAATCGCCGTTAAAAACTCGTTAAGCTAGTATTATTGACATTCAGCTAGTATTATTGACATTCAAGACTCCAATGACCTTGAAATCATCGTAGTTAAAATTGAGCTGAAATCAGTAGGTATTCTGGCACTCTGGGATGGGAAAAAATCAGCCCATATCGCACGACCCACTTTCACTTTCTTATTTCCTGGTATAGGTAGATGACCTGCTAAAGTGTGTCATGACCTGTATAACTGGTATTGACCTTTTGAAGTATATAGGTGATACGAGTTTAATTATACGTTTTTAGGAAGTAAGAAGTTTTAGGAAGTTGGCCTGAGAAGTTAAGTTACGAGTTGAGGAGTTGTCTGGCTTAACAGGTCATTAATCTTGTTTACAGAATGTTGTTTACCTGTCGAGGTCGTGTATTGCTCGACTCATATAGATTGAAAATATATTTTATGTTATGTAAGGAAAGAATAGAAAGCTAAATTTATTTTTCTATAAGGATGATATGTGGTTATGTAATTATTAGAGGTAAAAAGAAGAAAAAAGAACATGCATGTAAGAATTACGCATAAGAATAAAAAATTCTTGGTGCAATGACATAAACGCATATCATTATTATTAAAACGTACTTATATTTATTTTTAGAACCTGAAGAGACGAAAACAAAAAATATGCTTATAAGAGTTGCGCATAAGAATAATAAATAGGAAAAGATTCAGAGTTACCTTTATAAAGCATTTGTTTTTGTTTTGCTGTTTTTGTTTTGTTTTTTTTTGTTTTGCTGTTCTTGTTTTGTTTTCGCGTTAAAAGAGGTAAAAGAAATAATCTTATGATGCATATACCTACATATTTGAATAATATTTTTATTTAAGGTCAGAAAATTAAATAAAAAGAAAAAAGAAAAAGTGCTGGAGGTTTAAAAATATTATGTAATAGAAGAATATATAACATAGAACTGTATTTTTAATAGTAATTACCTGGTTTTGATTATGAAGCTGTTAAGTGAAACATAAAAAATTCTTTATGTAATAATACGCATATATTATATAACATACTTACTTTTATTTTTTATATGTAAAGAACCAAAAATAAAATATGATATGCACATATGTATATATTATGTATAATGTACAACATAGCTTAAGACCTAAATATAAGTGAAAAGAACACGCCTGTAGATAAGAATTACGGATAAGAAAAAATTAAGATGTAGGTACCTATAAAATTTTTGTTGTAATAATTATTATACAACATCCATATGTACGTAGGTCTAGTTACCTTTTATTTTAAATCTGAAAAGACTAAAATGAGCTGTAATAGAAATTCTGAAAAATTTGAAAAATTTTTAAATAACAAAAAACTTCTTATTTATTATAAAAATTTTATTTTTATTTTTCATTATACTTAATCGTTACTTATAAAAACTAAAAACTACTTTGAACTTAGTTCTAAATTTCCATGCTTATTTTTTTTAATTAAAAATTTGTTTGAATTTGCCATTTGGCAATATTCTTCTTGTGAAAATAAATTCACATATTTTAACGGCATGAAAATAAAAAAGGATTGGGTGATAAACACCCAATAAATTTTCCTCTTTTGGGATATTTTTTTTTTCTACGCCATTTAAGGCGTAGATTGTTGTTGTTGTTGTTGCTGTTGTGGTTGTTGTGTCATATGCACCTCATGGTGCAGCTTCATTCTTTTGCGTTTTGGTGGAACAACTGTCTGACAGTCCGTTACCACAGCGTTGTGTGGAGTAATGAACTCCTGCAAAATAAGATCAACCTCGGTTGGTTCCATTTTGAAAACTGATAATGTTGGTAGCAAATTCTCTCAGTATTTATACAACATTTAATAGGATATAATTATTACATATTTTTGTAAAATTGTAAATTAATTAAAAATTCTTACAAAAAGGTAGATATAGAATACTTGTTTTCTTTCAAGATAGTACAAAGTAATCTATTTATAAACCTACTATGAAAAAAGCCTGCAAAAGAAACAAGTTAAATTAATAGATCTATCATTTTTATAGATCCTTTTTCATTCTCAATTTTTAATGAATTTAATTTTCTCTATGTTTAATGAATTATTTTGTGTATGCAAAATTATACGATTACAGCCTGTGACAGGTAGTATTTTATAATTGTTACAATGTTGAAGATTATTTATAATAAAAACATTGATCGTTGAAATGAAAGAAACATTATAATAAGAGTAAAAACTTCTATTTCTATCATTTTACTAGGAAAAGTCATTTTAAAAACAACATAGATAATGTCGAAAAAAGTTATTTTACAAAAATTTTTAAATTCGAATCGCTATAAAATTGAAAGTGATTATATAACAATTATCAAGCGTTTTAAGGTACGTGGGAGAAAAATAATATTTAAAATAAATCCAATACCCACCAATGAAGACCCGATTACTTGGGTAAGGGAAGTCGTGGAAAAAATCATTAAATATGTATTACAAAACCTGACAAAAAGTGACATGGTCGAGTTGACCTTTTGTGGAGAAAGTTTTCAACACCGCGGTCCTGCGTGGCTTGCTTGTAGGCCAGCTGAAAGTTTAAAATTTGAAGACGTATGGGATATAATTTCAAAAATTTTTCAAAGTAATTCCGAGGGTAAGTTGTTACTACATTTTGATTTTGTATTATCTTTTTTATTACATAATTTTTTTGTTACAGGTTTAAATACGGACAATTTTTGTGTGATAGTAACACATGTCAGTCTACCTGTTGAAAGAGGAAGGCCCAGGAAATATAACAATTTTGCTGAGGAATGTAAGCAACGAACTGAAATAATTAGTATTAACAATAAAGATAACTTATGTTTGCCCCGTGCTCTAATTACCGCTATTGCCAAAATAGAAAATGATGTAAACTATCAAAAAATTCGACGAGATGTAAATAAGCAACAACTAACAAAAGCCCAAGAATTGGTAAAACAAGCTAACGTCATAATTCACGTACTCGGCTGTGGAGTAACAATTTCAAAGTTATTTAAATAATTACAAAATTGTTGTTTATGAATCTGGAGGTGGTGATAGAGATGTGATATTTGAAGGGAGTAATCATGGTAAAAGGATCATTATGATGACCATTTTAATGCAATTACCTCTCTTACTGCGGCTTTTTGCTCTTCATATTATTGTGAGTAGTGTAATATTCCGTATCATGGAAAGAATGACCACAGATGTTCTCGTATATGCCCATGTTGTCAACAATTACCACAATGCCGATCAAATGGAAACAATATTTTATGTAAAGATTGCAACAGACTGTTTCGAAGCCCTATTTGCTTAGAATGCTTAGAAAACCATAAAGCATCGGGTTCAAAAAGTAAAAGTATTTGTGATGAAGTGAAAAAATGTTTAAGTTGTCTTAAGACATATAAATCTAATCGACAACATATTTGCGGGGAATCATTTTGCAAAACCTGTAATATTCATGTTAGTCAAGGACATCTATGTTTTATTCAAAAAGACGACAAAGAACCATCATTAAGCAACTTTATTTACGTGTTTTATGATTTAGAAACACGACAAGAAAAAAAAAATTAGTGAAAATGAAAGGCTTCACGAACCAAATCTATGTGTGTTATCTCAAAGATGTGATACTTGCATGGATGAATCTAAATTGTTGTTTTGCCAAAAATGCAAATTTAGAAGTAAAATAATTAAAGAAAAAGACGTTATTGCCAACTTTGTTTTACATTTGTTAGCATTGAGAAAGCTTTTTAAAAAAGTTATTGTTATAGCTCACAATGGACAAGCGTTTGATCATCAGTTCATCTTAAATTATATATTACAGGAAACTGTATTAAAACCTAAATTAATCATGAGAGGAACCAAAATTATAATGATGTTAATTGACAACATAAAATTTCTAGACTCGCTAAATTATTTTCCAATGGCTCTCTCCGAACTACCGAAAGCTTTTGATTTACCATCAAATTTTAAAAAAGGATACTTTCCATACAAATTTAACACCATAAAAAATGCGAATTATGTTGGCCTTTTACCAGCAATAGAATATTACGGGGCAAACAGCATGAAACCAAAAGAACGTGACATATTTCTGCAATGGCATGAAAATCATAAAAATGATGTTTTTAATATGCAACGTGATATTATTGAATACTGTATTTATGATGTTGTAATATTAAGAGAAGCCTGCCTTAAGTTTCGAAAATTGTTCATAACTGAATGTAATGTGGAACCGTTTTTAGAAGCCACAACTATAGCATCAGCCTGCAATTTAGTGTTCCGGAGAAATTTTCTTAAGTCCAATACTATCGGGCTGATTCCTAAAAATGGATATAGATATGCAGATAATCAGTCAAAGCAGGCTATACAGTGGCTGGTTTTTGAAGAGGAAAACCGTAAAATCAATATTCAACATGCAGCTAAAGAACGGGAAGCTATAGTGGCCGGTGTTAAAGTAAACGGTTATTGCCAAGAAACTAATCAAGTTTTTGAGTTTTACGGATGCTATTTTCATGGGCACCCCTCTTGTCTACCACATAAACGTGACAAACCTTTGTACGATGATTTAAATGATACTCTAAATCACCGCTATGCAAGAACAATTGAAAAAAGTAGCCGATTAAGAAATTTAGGTTACGAAGTTGTGGAAATGTGGGTCTTTGAAAGTTTTTTAAGTACAAAACAGAAAGAGCATTTAAAAAATCACCCATTAGTAAACTGTACCCCGTTATATCCCCGAGATTCATTTTATGGTGGTCGCACAGGAAATACATTTAGTTACTATAAGTGCAAACATGCAGAAAAAATAAATTATATTGATGTGTGTTCCTTATATCCATATGTATGTAAATACGGAAAATTCCCTATTGGACATCCCAAACTCCATATTGGAAATACTAAATGTTATTCATTAAATTTACAAAACATAAATGGTCTCATAAAGTGTAAAATATTGCCACCTGAACGTTTGTATCATCCGGTTTTACCGCTGAAGCAAAATAATAAATGTTTACGTTATGCCGTTTATGCAGCGAACAAAGAAATCAAAATAAATTTTGCACACATTCAAAGGATGAAAGAGTCTTAACGGGAACTTGGGTTATCGATGAAGTTATTAAGGCTCTAGAAAAAAATTATAGGATATTGGAGACGTATGAAATATGGGAATACGACGTATCACAATATAATAAACTTAAAAACGCTGAAGGATTATTTAGTAAAATGATGGATAAATTTTTAAAAATAAAACAAGAAGCTTCAGGGTGGCCCAGCAAATGTTGTACTAAAGATCAAAAAGAAAAATATATTGAAGATTTTTTGCAAAACGAAGACATACAGCTCGAATATGAAAAAGTTTTGAACAATCCTGGGTTACGATCATTTGCCAAATTGATGTTAAATTCATGTTGGGGTAAATTCGGACAAAGAGAAAACTTACAAAAAACAAACATTATAAATGAGCCATTTGAGTTGTATGGGATGTTAACTAATGCAGCAATAGAAGTATGCCACATTTTACCTATAAATGAAAGAAATATTGTTATTAACTGGCAATACAAAGAAGAGGTAACAGAATCTTTGTCAACTGTGAATGTCTCTATTGCTGCATTCACAACCGCACAAGCCCGTCTAAAATTGTACACATACTTGGAAAAACTAGATAACCGAGTTTTATATTACGATACAGACTCAATATTTTACATAAGTCGTGAAGGTGAATATGAACCCCATACTGGAGAGTTTATAGGGGATATGACTAATGAATTAGAAAGCTATGGCCAAGGTAGTTATGTTACAGAATTTGTAAGCGGTCCAAAAAATTACGCCTATAAGGTTTTTTCTACAAAAGATAATTCTGAAAAAGTGGTTTGTAAGGTGAAAGGAATTCGCTTAAACTACGACGCTTCACACAAAATCAATTTTGAAACGATGAAGGAAGCTGTTTTAAATTTAAACAATTTTGAAAATATTTCCATACTTTCTGACAATATTCGAAGAACAAAAGAACATGAACTCATTACGGTGTCTGAAACCAAAACATATCAACCAAAATCCGAAAAGCGAAGATTTTTGCCTGATTACAGTTCGTTGCCATTTGGTTATAAAAGAAGAAAAATTACTCAATAAATAGTCATGTAATTTTATAAAACTAAATTTATTATAATAAAATGTTCAAGTAATTTCAAATTAAGTCTTTTTTATTAATCCAGCTGTTATGTTTACTGTCAAATCCCAACCACTTTACAAAAATTTTATTGCCCTGTTTTTTTAGGATTTTTTCTACTAAATAGGCGTCAGAATTTTTAACAGGTGTTAATTCAGGTTCATAAAATTTACCAGATATATCATTACTCTGATAATCACGCAACTCATAAGTAACTGGATATGTATTATGTACTTTAATAACTTTAAAAATTTCAGTAGACCAATTTGCATTATAACCTTTTTCAAATATTCCTTTATATTTACTTATCCTAACATAGTCTCCTACTTTATATTTATGTTTTTGAAAAATTTTAGGCTCTGCATAAAATTTTTTTAAAATAAATTCTTCATTTTCTTCAGAAATTTTTCCAGGTGGTAGCTTGGTTTTTCTATGGGGGGTTGAGTTATATATTTTTAATAAAGACGGTAATATAGTAATCCATTTGTAACTACCCTGTAAGCTAAACTTTCTCCACATCAAATTTTTTAAAGTACGATTAAAGCGTTCCACAATAGACGCCTTAAGATCCGAAAACGTATGGTAATGATTAATTCCTTTCTCCCGCATATAATTTTTGAATTTGATATTAAAAAATTCTTTCCCTTGATCTGAATGAATATTTTTTGGTACAGTTTTACTTCGTTTTATAATAGTTTTAAAAGCTTGTAAAACATTATCAGCAGTTTTATTTTTTACAGGTTCAGCAAATGCGTGCTTAGAAAAGGTATCTATAACAGTTTACATTTATTTTTTCCCTTATTAAACTTTGCATAAGGAATCATTTCAACTAAGTCAATTTGCCATGTATCATTTAAACCTTTTTGTAGAAATCTTCTCCTCCTGTAATTTTTTCGAGCCGGTCTATGAATTTCTGACACTATTTGAGCTCTTGACATATTTTTCGTACCAATTAATCAATTTTGCAACTTCAATTTTGTATTTTTCTATTGTATGGCATTCACAAGTATCAGGTCCAGATGTAGTATCGTCGTACGCCCAAGGGCAAATAGTAAAATGGCTTCCGTGTATCGAACTAGTTAATTGTAATTTATGTTTAAATGTTTTTAAGTAATTGTTTAAATATAAAATTTGATTCTTATGTTCTTCCAAAATAACAGAATCATATACATTTAAAAACTCGTTGACATCCATTTTTAAAATAAGAAAAATAAAAAGGATTCGATTATTTATATAAGCGGTTGCAAATCAATAAAAATGAACAAAGTCAGTATTTTTATATTTAAGCGTGATTCAAATAAAAAACTTTAGTATACATCAATTTATAATCGTAGCAGCATAACTGTAACGAATTTTCCAGTTTTACTAAAGAAATAAAATGGATACTCAATTACCGAGGAGAGATAATGTTTCAATTATGTTAGATAAGGAAGAAGAATCGATTTCGGAACCAAATTCATTTTGCTGGAATTGCTATAAATGTCTTATGCTGTATATGGTATTTTTATATTTGCTTTTTATTATTTTTACAATTACTCATGTTTTAAATAACACAAAAATAATGTAAATAAAAGAAAAAATAAAATACAAGTAACATATTAGTCTAGTAGCATAGTGCTTTTATTTATTTCTAAATATTTTTTTATCTTATTTTTAAGTAAAAATGGAATTTCATAAAACAATCTAGAATAATTACATTGAAAGTTAAATCGATCTAATGGTATATAAATTTCACTTTTTAGTATGATTTCATTGTTTTCTACACATTGTCTTATATATTTCCTTACATAGTCTTTTACACCTTCTTCAGCCTTGTGGTTGTAATCCATTACCAAATGAATAAAATCAATTAGGATATGAAATTCATCCATCTCTTCGCTCCTTAACACGAAAGTTTGTAAATTTTTTGTTTTTATTCCAAATTGTAGACAAGAGACCTTGTTATTTATAAATTATTTATTTATTTATTTTTTATACTTTGTTTGAAATTGCTGATAGAATTCCACCCAATCTTCATAATTTACAAAAATTTCCTTTTTTCCAATACGGTGTATTGAAATGGTTGCTTCTAATAATTCTACGTGGAATCCTATTACTACTTTTACAGTATGTGTTTTGTTTAAAAAATAAGTATACGCCAACAACATGTTTTAAGAAACACTGATTAAGTAGTGCTGATCTAGCTATCTGTTTTTAAACTGCATTTTAATTGAGACATTTCATCTTTTATATAACATAATTTCTAGAAACACATCTCTGAATATTCTGCATTCCAAATATTTTGTGAAATTTTCTTAAAACTATTTGATCATTTTTAATATGGTTGCGTTTCTTAAATTCACGTAAAAAATTATTCATACTTATACCAAAACATATATACCATGCATACACGCAACAGTATTCTCCACAAACTTCTGAAAAGGTGCTTTGTAATTGTTTGTCATTGAAAACAATACATTTATCTTTTAAAAAACTTAAAATTTCCTTTTTATTTGGTAAACCTCCATAAGAATCAAAGTATTCAACACAACCATATTTTGGAATATATATGGCTAACCAATGTTCGCCAGGATCTTTTGCTTTATCAGTATTTATAATTATAAGGGAAGATCTTTCAAGGTTTTTTGATATTTGATCTAAAGCAAATACACCTCTAAATTTTTTTCTTGTATATTTATTGCAATTTAAATATTTTATAATATCTAAAGTATTCATAAATTTAATTCACTTAAATCATAAACTGTACTGTTTTCTTTAATGTAATGCGAAATGAAATCTTTTTTGATTTTTCCGTTAGTCAATATCACATTGAATTTTTTTAATATTTCTTTAAGTTCATAGCTTATATTGTCATTAATCAAAGTTCCAAACGAATAGTATTCAAAATTTTCATATATTAGTTCCTTAGTTGGAAATTTGTAAGAAAACTCCTTTACAATTTTTTTTTGCATTTTTCTTGAATCCCAACTAAGCAAATATCTTTTACAAATAAGGTATTCTTGTCGTCACAACAAAACGTTATATCAACAAGTGCATAAGACGATGACATCATCTTGAATATTAAAACCATTTATGTAATTGTTCTATTTATAGGTTTGTGAAAATATTTCTATTTTTGTCAATTTCAGCACTTGCTTCAAATTCTCCATAGACAATAGCAGTCAATACAGATGATTGCGCTTTAGATAACCTTGCCTTAATTCTAATTGTACCTTGATTAAATAGACCCTGACATATCTCATTTCCTGATGCATCTGGTGTCAAATCGAAAGCCAAGATGAAAAATCCACTACTAAACATAGATTTTGATATTTGATGTCCTTTGTCATTATGATAAATTCCTGTACCAGAAAAAAGTGTATAATATGCACGAGTATGACAATTATTTTCATCTGAAAAACTTGTTTCAATTGCTGTGTTTGGTACTTGTACACCATTTACATACAATACAAACTGGGACATATCAAAATGTCGAAAATTATATGGATTTTTTGATCTTTTCCAGAGTAGCCAACATTTTCTGTAAGGCAAAAAATTATGGTGTTGGGTAATTGCCCAATGAAGACATTATCAAGTGAAATAGTTGATGTATTAGAAGGAATTGTAAAACTTTTTACTTCAACACGCTTGTAATTGTACTTGGCATTAGATTTTTCTAGAACAGCATTAACGGCTAGTAGTACACTTGGGTTTATTGTTACGTGCTTCACAAATAATGTAGCTTCCAAAATTTTTAACTGAGATTCATCAGCATCTTCTGCAAAAATATAAAAATCTGGTTTTTCAAGTGTTAAAGTAATTCTCACATCAACGTTGTTTATTAAAAGAGTCGGTTGGTTAAACATATCCAAATGTAGTTTACCCATTAGCTCTACGATATTGCTGTTGTGATAAAGTTTTTGACGTTCTTTTGATCCATTATTATCTGGTTTTGCTATGTTTGGTTTATCTAAACACCATCCAGCACACTCTAAATGAGTAGTAGCGGCATCCGTACCATAATTTAATAATGATTCAATGTATGCTCTGTAATGATAATTTCCATCTGACGGGGTAATACTTTTTCCGTTAAATTGAACATTACACTATTTTATTATTGAGTGTAGAAGATTATTCACTACGCTTGGTTGGGGCAATGTTTTTCCGTCGGCACCTTTGTCGTTATTCCAATGGTTTCCATCTTTTTTAACAATTTGTACCTTTAATCTAAGATATGTAGAAGATAAATCTTTGTATGTATCACCATGACCTAATGAGACAAATTCAATAGTTGATGGATTATCTAAAGAAGCAATAGGATTGTATGAAACTTCCTCAGATCTTAAAATACTAGATTGAATTGGCTTTGTTCTAAAAATATCCAATACTGATTTCATGACATTCAATCATAATTAATCAAAAATATCAACTTTTTTTCTTTTGCTATTAACTTTTTGTCGCTTTGAAGCAAAATAGTCGATTTTTTTAATGAGGCGCCTTTTTATAGTTTTTCTTTTTCTTTTTCCAGATCCATACATTTCGTTTAATTTGCAAACTGCTCCACGTCTCACATTTTTTAAAATTTCCTTACCCCGATCCTGAACTACTTCTCTTATATTTGCTCCAGTTGCAATATCAGATAGAGCATTCATACTGGAATTAATTGCTTCATTTTTCAATATATTAGCTCCGGAGACAAACAAAGGTTTCAAATATTTAAAAAGCCCCCCAAAAAAACTTCCCAATCCTCGACCTCTTTGATAGGCAAGGGCAGAGTGAAGTAAGGGGGCCGATATCATCAAGCCCTTTACCAGATTGAACTAAATAATACTTATAATACAATCGTTCCATAATATAATAGAAAAATAATATAATTTTTGCTTAATACCTTTTATTTATACTTTTTTGAAATGTAATACAATTTTTGTAGGGATATTACTATTGGAAAAATTTATTTGTTTACCATATTTATCACATAACATAATAGAAATATTATCAAAAAATTTATTTTCAACTGGAAAATAATGAATATTTTTAAATTCAAAAAAATTATTTTCGTATGTATTCTTTATTATTATTGTTCGTAAACACCTCAAAGTATTGTCACCGACAATTTGTGGTTCTATAATGTCACTGTATACAAACATAATATCTGATTTATTTACTGGTATAAAATATAAGGTTTCTAAATAAGACTTGTACAATTGCACAATTCTGTCTTTATATTTTTTAAAATCGGGGTATTTTATTAAAATTTGATAAAAACATTCTTTGATAAAAACATCAATTGACCAATTGGTTTTGACACCTATTTTTATGTCAACTTCTGGATCGCTGACACATATTTTAACCACTTCACCAGTGTGTTCAGTCGGTTCTTCAGATTTCGTGTAACTTGAGTTCCTTGAAATATAATCAAAAATTAGCCATATAAGTTGACGCTCACATTCCTTTTTTGTATATCCTGCATCCGGTTCTATATTTTGTATAAGTGTAGGTAAAACAAAAGTTTTCCAATCACAATTGATTTGTTCTTTCCTATATGGAATATAAGTTGTACCTATGTTTTCATATTTTTTTTTGTACTTCCAATCGTAATTGCAATTCTTTTTTCGTCGTTTTCTCCGTAAATGGATGATACATAATCATTTACATACACTTGTGAAATTCCAACTTTCCATTTTCATCAAGGGCAAATTGTTTATTTAATTTATTAGTAAAAGCTGCCAATGTGTTTTCAGGATAGTAATTAATAGACGAGTCACTTAGTAAAGTTACATAAAATTCATCATTTACCTGTAAGTTGTCCATGTGCTTGTCGATTTA